AAAAGCTACCTTGCTAATTGCCAATCAGTTTGAATTGAATATTCATAAATAGCAATCAAACTATAAATAGGAAAAAAGAAACTAATCTAAATAATTTGAAAACAAATATCAATATATAACCTATCAATTCCATCGGAATTTTTCAAACATTCTCTTTTATCTTCATCAACAGTTAAATTAATTAATACACCAATAACTGCATATAATAATTCAATATTTTCCGATCGACAATGATGAATTGCCAAACGATCAACTATATTTATATAAAATTCATATTTTTTTTTTATCAAAATAAAAAAAAAATTTTTTTTTCTTTTCTTACCTTTACATTTCATTAATATATCACGAATTCTTTTCGCTCTTGATAAATTTCCAAGTACACGAAATGCTTCAACAACACAATCCATTTTATCTTCATTTCGAATATATTTAACTAATACTAAAAACAAAGATAATCAAAAGTAAATAAATCAAAATATTATTTTGTTTTACATTGAGCAAGTGTTTCAGCATTTCGAATAATATAACTTTGTGGATCATCATAATATGATAAATTATTTAATGCCATTAAAACATGAACAAGTAATTCTTCACTATGTTGATTTGGTGCTTCTAAAATAAATAATTTTATTTTCTAATAGATCAATTTGAACAAATTTTTACTAAGAATTTTAAATAAAAGATCAATACAATCATCACTTCGAATAATAATTAAACCATTTTCTTGTGAAATAGCTAAATTACTTAATACACGTATAACTTTATTAATAACATTTTCAATTGAACGAAATTGATTTAAATTTGAATCATCAACAATATCAACATCGTGACTTGTAGAATCATCATTATCAAGATTTTCAGGTTTTAATACCTAGGATAAAAGAATTGGGTATTTTTTTTAAATATAAGATTATTGAAATAGTTTTGAATTAAAGAAACTAACAAGTGAATCAAGTTGAATGTAGGAATGAAGAAGTTTTGTTAATGTTTTTAATGCATGAGAATCTTTCATAAATGTTAAACGAGCATCTTCACTTTTAGCCATCATATTACCAAGAATGAAACAAACACGAACTACTAATGCCTAAAAATAAAAAAATATATTTCATTATTTCGCACATAGATAATACCAATATAATTTGCTACGTTTCGAAGTCCTCTGAAAAATAAATGACGAAAAATAAGGATTATTACAACAATATTATTGACTCTAGTCAAATTATATGCTCAATATATAGATTCCATCATAAGCTGATTGAAACAAATCTTTATTTGAAATCAAATACACAGAATGTAGTTTGTACGTAATTAGAAGATTTTTGAATTCATTTAGGTGCATCACTATAATCAAATTATGTTAATCTGAGTTCTTCTAGCAGATAGTATATAAATGAATCTAAAATTTGATTTGAATATTTCTAATAAACAGATCAGTACTGAAGAATAAATCTCTGTTATTGAGAGAATAAATTACAAGAACGTATATGTGTCACAAAGCAAGTAAAAGAAAATTGTCATTCGAGAAGATGAATGAATCAATATAGTTCGTGACATATTAACAATGTCAAGAAAATGCATCTAAAAATGTACTTCGTCACAGTCTAAACTGACAATCTCGATTATAATCATATTCAGAGTAAAATATGCTCGATGTTGAGAGTAGGAGATCGAAAAAGATAGATAATATATTCAAACGATATCGATATGTCATTCGGACTCGTTACATTTCAAAACAAATCAATTATCTGATTTAGTAGGGATCGAAAATATTCTCTAAAAGATTAATATACATACTTGATTACTTTCATGCTTAACAAGTATTTTAAGAAATGATCGATAGCATGATGAACATTGCACAAGTTTCAAACAACAATCCGTATGTTGTGTTAATTTACTAAAATTATTTAAATAAAATTATCCAACAAAAAACAAAAATATTTATATTTACCTAAATATTCGTGCGACATTTGTCATTAAATCTCCATGAGATTTATCTGTAAAATATTTTAATATAAATGTTAAATGATCAATTAACTCATCATTTAAAAATTCTGAACGATTAAGATCATTTTCAGCTAAATTTCTTAATGCATCTGTTAACTAAATAAAAATAAATTTATCACAAAAACCGAAATTGAAATATTAAAACTTACTGGTACTAAACAATCACGTAATCGATCACGATGTTCAGCTTGATCTTTTAACTAAATCAAAAAAAAATTTATTTCTAATAAAAAACTGTTTCGAATTACTTGACGAAGATTTTTTAAAATTATTTTCAATAATTCAAATGGTTTTTTTTCCGATATTAAACAAATAAGTTCATTATTAACAGTTAAATTTTTTAATGTTGTACAAAAATATGCAATTGATTCAAGATTTTGTTGTATATCATCAATACGTGACATTGTTTCAAAAAGAAGATCTATTTACAAATTAAAAAAATTCAATAGACAAAAAAAAAAGAAACCAATGATTTTTACCAATAATATTTGTTTGTAAAAAGAAATGATCATTGTCTTTATTTGAACTTAGTTTTTCTATTACACGAATTATATTTCGTAAATTATTTGTACTGCTTACTTGAAACTAAAAAGAAAGAAAATTATTTCGTTATTTTATTATTTTTAATTATCTTACAGCAAGACTTAAACGAGCAACATGAAATTTTACTAATGAATTATCCGATTCAATAAAACCAAATAATGTTTTAAGGAATTCTCCTCGTTTTTTATTATTTTTTTTGCCAAATAGATTATGTTTTAATAAAACATTGTAAAGAACATTAGATATTTGATCAAATTGTTGATAATCATTTGCTAAAATGAATAACTTTTATTTAATATTAAAATAATTTTTTTTATACTTTTATAAGCAGTTATAAGTTTTTCAATTAATGGACTTATTTCATTTTTCCAAATAAGATTTTCATCGGATGATTCATCTTTGGTGGTGGTTATCGAATCTATAAAGAATTTCTTTTATAAGAAAACGTTTTTAAATAAAAAAATGAATTACTTCGATGAGAGGATTTTGAAGTTGTAGAAGAAGTATTTGATGATGCACTTGATATTGTACTTGATCGTTGATGATTTGCTGGTAATGGAGGCTTAGTTTGACTTGAAACAGTAGTATCACCTGAACGAGTTTGATTTGAAACAGTCGAATCACTCGAACGAGTTTGTTCTTGGGATGTTTGATGATTAAGTTTTGAAAGTCTATTATTAACAAAATATTAAATTTATTATGATAAGAAATGTCAAAGTATACCTTGGTGGTGGTATTGCAACGGGAGCGGCAATATCGGATATTCCTATAATGACATGAATATTAAAAAATAAATTTAAGAAAATATTTAACCTTTTGAATTCCGTCGTTTTGTCTCTATCGGCTATAATATTATCGAGAAAATATTAATTTATTCGCTGTAAAACTGAGATATATCTTACTCTACTAGACGATGGTCGTGATTCAGAGTCATAATCAATCGATGATGCACTAATATAAAATTAAAAGAATAAAAATTTCAGTATTTTACTTTTAATTTACCTAAATAAATTTGGTTCATGATTAAGTTTACTTAATGTTGTATATCTTGAATCATTACGTGGTGTATATGGGCGTGTTGTTGGCATATCTCTTAATGATTGTTTAGCATCACTAATTATCTTTGTTGGTATATTTGCAATGGATTGTGGAACTTCATAGAATGCCATTGGACTTTCTCTACTATTTCTACGATTTGTATTTGTTGAAGTTAAATATCCAGAAGGATTGTCCCGGCCGGATGAATGAGTACTTCCACTTGGTGAATTACTCATGATAACAATCGCTTTTTATCTTCCTAGTTTATCTAAAACTATATTAAACATTTGAATGACTCATTCAAAATTATATTTCATAGATTTATGAAAGAAAAAATCCTTTTAACATGATTATCGCCATTAATCATGAATAAATCCGATTGTTACTATGGCAACCAACCATCTATATGGCAGAATTATAAGAAAAAAAATAAGAAAAATCTTTTATTTTTATTTCAAAAGTTATTTTTTAATAGAATAAATTTTTTTTATTCTAATAAAAAATAAAATATGAAGTCAAAAATAAATAAAACAACAATTGGTAAAATATGGATTTTGTTTATTTCTTTCGTCAGTTCATATTTGTAATTACAGACACAGTTACAGTTAGTTCTTAACATTTGAAATTCAAAGAAGACAGCAATCATGGGGAAGGTAAGAATTGAATTTTTATTTTATTTTAATATCTAAAAAAATCTTTTAATTTTTTTCTCTCTAATGAATAGGGTTTCGAAAATTATATGTCAAAAAAATGGTTTCATCCAACCAATATTGGAAATATGAAACGTCAATATATGGCTGAACAAAAAAATGCTGATGAAAAAAGACGACAACAAGAATTACGTGAACAATATGAACGTGAACAAGAAGTTTTTTCCAATAAACAATTAATGGGTGATGAAAAAGCTCGTCTTGGTCTTTCATTTATGTATAATCCACCAGCTGGTATGGCTAAACAAGAAGAACAAACTCAAGAACAAGAACTTCGACGTGCTGATGGAACATTAATTATTAAAAAAGATGAACCGAAATTTGAATGGCAAAGAAAATACAACGCACC